TCACTCACCCACTCACCCAGCCACTCACCCACCCACTCACTCATCCACCCACTCACTCATCTGCCCACCCACCCACCCACCCACTCACCCACCCACCCACCCACTCACCCACCCACCCACCCACTCACCCACCCACCCACTCACTCACTCACCCACCCACCCACTCACTCACCCACTCACTCACCCACCCACCCACCAACTCACCCAACCAACCACTCACCCACCCACCCACCCACTCACCCACTCACTCATCCACTCACCCACTCACTCACCCACTCACCCACCTACCCACTCACTGACTCACCCACCCACTCACCCACCCACTCACTCACTCACTCACCCAACTACTCAACGACCCACCCACCCACTGACCGACTCGCCCACCCACTCACCAACTCACCCACCCCCTCACTCACCCACCCACCCACACACCCACCCACACACTCACCAACTCACCCACCCCCTCACTCACTTTCTCACTCACCCACCCACCCCCTCACTCACCCACCCACTCACCCACCCACCCCCTCACCCACCCACCCCCTCACTCACTCACCCACCCACCCACCCCCCCACCCCCTCACTCACCCACTCACCCACCCACCCACTCACCCACCCACCCCCCCACCAACCCCCCCACCCACCCACACAGGGGAGCCTACTGCTGTCGGGCGACCAGGAGCAGCTGGTAATGCTGCTGGAGCAGATTAACTCACCCACCCACCCACTCACTCACCCACCCCCTCACCCACCCACTCACCCACCCACCCCCCCACCAACCCCACCCCCCCACCCACACAGGGGAGCCTACTGCTGTCGGGCGACCAGGAGCAGCTGGTGATGCTGCTGGAGCAGATCAACTCGGCGTTTGTTCGCTCCAACCCGAGCGTGCTCCAGGGGCTGCTCCGCATCATCCCGTACCTCTCCTTCGGCGAGGTGGACAAGATGCAGATTCTCGTGGATCACTTCCAGCCGTACTGCGACTTTGACAAGTGAGGGGGGTGGGGGTAGGTGGGTTGTTGGGTGGGTGGTTGGGTGAATGAATGAGGTGGGTGGGTGGGTGGTTGGGTGAATGAATGAGTGGGTTGGGTAGGTGTTTGGGTGGGTGGGTGGGTGGTTGGGTGGTTGGGTGGGTGGGTGGGTGGTTGGGTGGGTGGTTGGGTGAATGAATGAGTGGGTTGGGTAGGTGTTTGGGTGGGTGGGTGGTTGGGTGGGTGGGTGGTTGGGTGGGTGGGTGGTTGGGTGAATGAGTGGGTGAATGAGTGGGTTGGTGGGTATTTGGGTGAATGAGTGGCTAGGGGAATTCATGCGTGGGTGGGTAAATTAATGAATGAGTGGATGGGTGGGGGGGGTGGTAAATAAAGTGGGTGGGCAGGGGGGTGGGTGAGTGACTGGGTGAGTGACTGGGTGAGTGACTGGTTGGGTGACTGGGTGAGTGACTCGGTAAGTCACTGGTTGGGTGACTGAGTGAGTGACTGAGTGAGCGACTGGGTGAGCGACTGGGTGAGTGAGTGAGTGACTGGGTGAGCGACTGGGTGAGTGACTGGCTGAGCGACTGGGTGAGTGACTGGGTGGGTGAGCGACTGGGTGAGTGACTGGCTGGGTGAGCGACTGGGTGGGTGAGCGACTGGGTGAGTGGCTGGGTGGGTGACTGGGTGAGTGACTCGTTGAGTGACTGGGTGAGCGACTGGGTGAGCGGCTGGGTGGGTGAGTGGCTGGGTGAGCGGCTGGGTGAGCGGCTGGGTGGGTGAGTGGCTGACTGAGTGGCTGGGTGGGTGAGCGACTGGGTGAGTGGCTGGGTGGGTGAGCGGCTGGGTGGGTGAGCGGCTGGGTGGGTGAGCGACTGGGTGAGTGGCTGGGTGGGTGAGTGGCTGGGTGGGTGAGCGGCTGGGTGGGTGAGTGGCTGGGTGGGTGAGCGGCCGGGCGAGCGGCTGGGCGAGCGGCTGGGTGGGTGGGCGAGTGGCTGGGTGGGTGGGCGAGTGGCTGGCTGGGTGGGCGAGTAACTGGTCGAGCGGCCGGGCGAGCGGCCGGGCGAGTTTACAGTGGTGGACTCGTGGTTGCTGACCGCCACCCCCGTGCCCCCCTCTAGCGTCGGCCACGGCTGCCGCTCGCCGCAACGGCACTTGCCCCCCGCACCCATAGCGGTGCGCTAAAGGCCCCCCTTAATTCTGCGTGCGTGCTTCAGGTACGACGAGGAGCACAGCTCGGAGGAGAAGACCTTCCTCGACTGCTTCTGCAAGATCGTGGCGGGCATCAAGAGCACGAGCAACGGGCGCCAGCTCAAAGGGCGGATCCTGAACAGCGGCGTGGTGCAGAGGGCGCTGGCCTACACCGCACGGCACATCCCCAGCGCCAAGAAGTGCGGCTCGCTCGCCCCACCGCTCGCTCGCTCGCCGCACCGCTCGCTCGCCGCACCGCTCGCTCGCCCCACCGCTCGCTCGCCCCACCGCTCGCTCGCTCGCCGCACCGCTCGCTCGCCGCACCGCTCGCTCGCCCCACCGCTCGCTCGCGCCACCGCTCGCCCCACCGCTCGCTCGCCCCACCGCTTGCTCCACCGCTCGCTCCACAGCTCGCCCCACCGCCCGCTCGCCCCCACCGCTCGCTCGCCCCACCGCTCGCTCGCCCCAACGCTCGCCCCACAGCTCACTGTGTGTGTGTCTCTGTATGTGTGTGTCTGTGTTTGTGTGTGTCACTGTGTGTGTGTGTGTCACTGTGTGTGTGTGTGTCACTGTGTGTGTGTGCTGTGTGTGTGTGTCACTGTGTGTGTGTGTGCTGTGTGTGTGTGTGTGTCACTGTGTGTGTGTGTCACTGTCTGTGTGTCACTGTGTCACTGTCTGTGTGTGTGTGTCACTGTGTGTCACTGTTTGTGTACACTGTGTGTGTGTCACTGTGTGTGTGTGTGTGTCACTGTGTGTGTGTGTGTGTGTCACTGTGTGTGTGTGTCACTGTGTGTGTCACTGTGTGTGTGTCACTGTGTCACTGTGTGTGTCACTGTGTCACTGTGTGTGTGTCACTGTGTCACTGTGTGTGTCACTGTGTGTGTGTCACTGTGTCACTGTGTGTGTGTCTGTGTGTGTGTCACTGTCGGTGTGTGTGTGTGTCACTGTGTGTGTGTCACTGTGTCACTGTCTGTGTGTGTGTGTCACTGTGTGTCACTGTGTGTGTACACTGTGTGTGTGTCACTGTGTGTGTGTGTGTGTCACTGTGTGTGTGTCACTGTGTGTGTGTGTCACTGTGTGTGTGTCACTGTGTGTGTGTGTCACTGTGTGTGTACACTGTGTGTGTGTGTGTCACTGTGTGTGTGGGTGTCACTGTGTGTGTGGGTGTCACTGTGTGTGTGTCACTGTGTCACTGTGTGTGTGGGTGTCACTGTGTGTGTGTCACTGTGTCACTGTGTGTGTCACTGTGTCACTGTGTGTGTCACTTTGTGTGTCACTGTGTGTGTCACTTTGTGTGTCACTGTGTGTGTCACTGTGTGTCACTGTGTGTGTGTGTGTCACTGTGTGTGTGAAAGGTCCTGGCAAGGATTATTCAGCATCGCCTTGCCAGGCACGCTGAGGAGAGGCTTGCGGAGCCCCAATGCGGTTTCAGGAAAGGGCGGTCCTGCACAGATGCCATATTTTCTGTCCGTCTGCTACAGCAGAGGTGTAGGGAATTCCAACAAGACCTACATCTCTGCTTTATTGACCTGGTCAAGGCCTATGATACCATCAGTAGGCCTGGGCTCTGGGTCGTTCTTCGTGCTTTTGGAGTACCTGACCCTCTGCTCACGATCATTAAGGACCTTCATGATGGTGAGCGGGCCCGGGTAAAACTACGTGGCCGGGAGTCAGAGCCATTCCCTGTACACCTTGGGGTGCGACAGGGATGTCCTCTGGCTCCCACATTATTTAACATCTATTTTGACCACGTAGTTCGTGAAGCCTTCAATAGCTGTACCGGGGGAATCTCCATATGGTACAGATATAATGGGAGGCTAATCGATGCCCGGGTGCGGTCAAGGGATGGCTCCCTATTGCTCAACCACGTTATGTATGCTGATGACTTGGTAATAGCTGCTCAGTCAGAGGAGGAGTTGGAGACGCTGCTGCTGAGACTGGAGCGTGCCACTAAGAGGTGGGGCCTTACCATCAGCCCCACCAAAACCAAGCACCTGCCTGGGTATTTTGTACCATCGGACACTCCACCCCCACAACTCCCAATCGGTGATGGGGCAGTTGTGGAGAGAGTGGAGAGTTTCCCATACCTGGGCAGTGTGCTTATGACTGGCACCAGTTTAACAGCAGAGGTCTCACTCCGAATCAGTCGAGCGGCAATATCTTTTCATCGGTTGCGTAACGCTGTGTGGAAGCTACCTGGTCTGTCGCTCCGCACTAAGCTTCAGGTCTTCTCGGCCACGGTCATTCCCTCCCTTCTCTACGCTTGCGAAACGTGGACCCCCCTAATGGAACATCTTCGCCGGTTAGAAACATTTAGGCTGGCCTGCCTACGATCCATCCTGGGTTTAACCAGACTGGATTGTGTGAGGAGCTCACAAATCCTTGAAAGATCTGGGCAGGGTCCCATCGGTGAGCTCCTCCGGCAGGCAAGGCTGCGATGGCTGGGTCATGTAGCCCGCATGCCCAGCCACCGCATGCCGAAACAGCTTTTGTTTGGCCGGATTGAGGGGGCTAAGCGGGCGCGGCACGGGCTAGAGAAGAGATGGAGTGATGTGGTACAGGAGGACGTGGAGCTGAGTGGACTTGCCGATGACTGGTACCAGCGGTGTCAAGATCGGCCTCTGTGGAGGAGGCTCGTGAAGGATGCTACTGGGCAGTTGGAGGCAGTCGCCCTCCAACAACAACGGAGGGCGGAGGAGCGACGCTCACAACAGCGAGCGGAGCGCCGGGTGGCTAAAGCACAGCAGGTTGGCACAGTAGGGGGCACAGGTGGTGCATCAGCCAGTCATCTCAGTCAGTCGACCCGTGGCACCTGGGTCTGCCCCGTGACCTCCTGCCAGCGGGCGTTCGACACTTCACGTGGCCTCAGGGTGCACATAGCCTGGCACAAGCGTCGTGGTGACGTCACCGCCACTTAGTGGCGAATGGCGGTTGTTGTTGTTGTGTCACTGTGTGTGTCTGTGTGTCACTGTGTGTCACTGTGTGTGTGTCACTGTGTCACTGTGTGTGTGTCACTGTGTGTGTGTGTCACTGTGTCACTGTGTGTGTGTCACTGTGTGTGTGTCACTGTGTGTGTGTGTGTCACTGTGTGTGTGTCACTGTGTGTGTGTCACTGTGTGTGTGTCACTGTGTGTGTGTGTGTCACTGTGTGTGTGTCACTGTGTGTGTGTCACTGTGTGTGTGTCACTGTGTGTGTGTCACTGTGTGTGTGTCACTGTGTGTGTCACTGTGTGTGTGTGTGTCACTGTGTGTGTGTCTGTGTGTCACTGTGTGTGTCACTGTGTGTCACTGTGTGTGTCACTGTGTGTGTGTGTGTCACTGTGTGTGTGTCACTGTATGTGTGTGTGTCACTGTATGTGTGTGTCACTGTGTGTGTGTGTCACTGTGTGTGTGTGTCACTGTATGTGTGTGTGTCACTGTGTGTGTGTGTGTCACTGTGTGTATGTCACTGTGTGTGTGTCACTGTGTGTGTGTGTCACTGTGTGTGTGTCACTGTGTGTGTGTGTCACTGTGTCACTGTGTGTGTCACTGTGTGTGTCCTAGTCTGGATGCTGAGGTGTGGAAGAAGTTCCTGGGTCGCCCGGCACTCCCATTTGTGGTGCGCCTCCTCACGGGACTGGCACAGCAGCACACCCCAACTCAGGTACTCACCACCACCACTACTACTCACTACTACTCACCACCACTCACCACTAGTACTCACCACTACTACTATTACTACTCACCACTACTAGTACTGACCACTAGTACTCACCACCACTACTCACCACCACTACTCACCACCACTACTCACCACCACTACTCACCACTAGTACTCACCACTAGTACTCACCACTAGTACTCACCACCACTAGTACTCACCACCACTACTACTCACCACTACTACTACTCACTACCACTACTACTCACTACCACTACTACTCACCACCACTACTACTCACCACCACTACTCACCACTACTACCACTACTCACCACCACTACCACTCACCACTAGTACTCACCACCACTACTACTCACCACTAGTACTATTACTACTCACCACTAGTACTCACCACTAGTACTCACCACCACTACTCACCACTACTACTCACCACTAGTACTCACCACTATTACTACTCACCACTACTCACCAACACTACTCACCACTACTACTCACCACTACTACTCACCAACACTGTGTGTGTACCTGTGTACATGTGTGTGTGTGTACCTGTGTGTGTGTGTACCTGTACCTATGTGTACCTGTGTGTGTGTACGTGAATGTGTGTATGTACCAGCGTGTGTGTGTGTACCAGCGTGTGTGTGTGTGTGTGTACGTACCAGCGTGTGTGTGTACGTACCAGCGTGTGTGTGTACGTACCAGCGTGTGTGTGTGTGTGTACCTGTGTGTGTGTGTGTACCTGTGTGTACGTGTGTGTGTGTACCTGTGTGTACGTGTGTGTGTGTACCTGTGTGTCTACCTGTGTGTCTACCTGTGTGTACCACCTGTGTGTGTGTACCTGTGTGTACCTGTGGTAATCCCGCAGGCTCTGATAGGGGCCGAGGCGACCCCCCTGCTCCACACACTGGAGCAGGTGTCCAGTGTGTGTGTGTACCTGTGTGTGTGTGTGTGTACCTGTGTGTGTACCTGTGTGTGTGTGTGTACCTGTGTGTGTACCTGTGTGTGTACCTGTGTGTCTACCTGTGTGTCTACCTGTGTGTACCACCTGTGTGTGTGTACGTGGTAATCCCGCAGGCTCTGATAGGGGCGGAGGCGATCCCCCTGCTCCATACGCTGGAGCAGGTGTACAGTGTGTGTGTGTACCACCTGTGTGTGTGTACCTGTGTGTGTGTGTGTGTACCTGTGTGTGTGTACCTGTGTGTGTGTGTGTACCTGTGTGTGTGTGTGTACCTGTGTGTGTGTACCTGTGTGTGTGTGTACCTGTGTGTGTGTGTACCTGTGTGTGTGTGTGTACCTGTGTGTGTGTGTGTACCTGTGTGTGTGTGTACCTGTGTGTGTACCTGTGTGTGTACCTGTGTGTGTACCTGTGTGTGTACCTGTGGTAATCCCGCAGGCTCTGATAGGGTCCGAGGCGATCCCCCTGCTCCACACACTGGAGCAGGTGTCCAGTGTGTGTGTACCTGTGTGTGTGTGTATGTGTGTGTGTTACCTGTGTGTGTACCACCTGTGTGTGTGTTACCTGTGTGTGTGTGTTACCTGTGTGTGTGTATCTGTGTGTGTGTGTGTACCACCTGTGTGTGTGTGTTACCTGTGTGTGTGTGTGTTACCTGTGTGTGTGTGTATCTGTGTGTGTGTGTGTTAACTGTGTGTGTACCACCTGTGTGTGTGTGTTACCTGTGTGTGTGTTACCTGTGTGTGTGTTACCTGTGTGTGTGTGTGTATCTGTGTGTGTGTGTGTGTACCACCTGTGTGTGTGTGTGTTACCTGTGTGTGTGTGTGTGTTACCTGTGTGTGTACCACCTGTGTGTGTGTGTTACCTGTGTGTGTGTGTTACCTGTGTGTGTGTGTGTATCTGTGTGTGTGTATGTTACCTGTGTGTGTACCACCTGTGTGTGTGTGTGTTACCTGTGTGTGTGTGTGTTACCTGTGTGTGTGTGTATCTGTGTGTGTGTGTGTGTACCACCTGTTTGTGTGTACCACCTGTTTGTGTGTACCACCTGTTTGTGTGTACCACCTGTGTGTGTGTGTGTTACCTGTGTGTGTGTGTATCTGTGTGTGTGTGTGTGTACCACCTGTGTGTGTGTGTTACCTGTGTGTGTGTGTGTGTGTTACCTGTGTGTGTGTGTACCACCTGTGTGTGTGTGTTACCTGTGTGTGTGTACCACCTGTGTGTGTGTGTTACCTGTGTGTGTGTGTGTTACCTGTGTGTGTGTGTGTTACCTGTGTGTGTGTGTGTGTACCACCTGTGTGTGTGTGTTACCTGTGTGTGTGTGTGTGTTACCTGTGTGTGTACCACCTGTGTGTGTGTTACCTGTGTGTGTGTGTTACCTGTGTGTGTGTGTATCTGTGTGTGTGTGTGTGTGTTACCTGTGTGTGTACCACCTGTGTGTGTGTGTTACCTGTGTGTGTGTGTGTTACCTGTGTGTGTGTGTATCTGTGTGTGTGTGTGTACCACCTGTGTGTGTGTGTGTTACCTGTGTGTGTGTGTGTTACCTGTGTGTGTACCACCTGTGTGTGTGTGTTACCTGTGTGTGTGTGTACCACCTGTGTGTGTGTGTGTTACCTGTGTGTGTACCACCTGTGTGTGTGTACCTGTGTGTGTACCACCTGTGTGTGTGTGTGTTACCTGTGTGTGTACCACCTGTGTGTGTGTACCTGTGTGTGTACCACCTGTGTGTGTGTACCTGTGTGTGTACCTGTGTGTGTACCTGTGTGTGTTACCTGGTAATCCCGCAGGCTCTGATAGGGGCCGAGGCGATCCCCCTGCTCCACACACTGGAGCAGGTGTACAGTGTGTGTGTGTACCTGTGTACCTGTGTGTGTGTGTACCTGTGTGTGTGTACCACCTGTGTGTGTGTTTACCTGTGTGTGTACCTGTGTGTGTGTGTACCTGTGTGTGTACCACCTGTGTGTGTTACCTGGTAATCCCGCAGGCTCTGATAGGGGCGGAGGCGATCCCCCTGCTCCACACACTGGAGCAGGTGTACTGTGTGTGTTGTACCACCTGTGTGTGTGTACCTGTGTGTGTACCTGTGTGTGTACCACCTGTGTGTGTACCACCTGTGTGTGTACCTGTGTGTGTACCACCTGTGTGTGTGTACCACCTGTGTGTGTGTTTACCTGTGTGTTTACCTGTGTACCTGTGTGTGTACCACCTGTGTGTGTGTACCACCTGTGTGTGTGTTTACCTGTGTGTTTACCTGTGTACCTGTGTGTGTACCACCTGTGTGTGTGTACCTCTGTGTGTGTTACCTGTGTGTGTGTTTACCTGTGTGAGTACCTGTGTGTGTTTACCTGTGTACCTGGTAATCCCACAGGCCCTGATAGGGGCGGAGGCGATCCCCCTGCTCCACACACTGGAGCAGGTGTCCAGTGTGTGTGTGTGTGTGTACCTGTGTGTGTGTGTACCTGTGTGTGTGTGTACCTGTGTGTGTGTACCTGTGTGTGTGTACCACCTGTGTGTACCTGTGTGTGTGTACCACCTGTGTGTGTGTTACCTGTGTGTGTACCTGTGTGTGTGTGTTACCTGTGTGTGTGTGTATCTGTGTGTGTGTTACCTGTGTGTGTACCACCTGTGTGTGTGTGTACCTGTGTGTGTGTGTACCACCTGTGTGTGTGTGTACCTGTGTGTGTGTGTACCTGTGTGTGTGTGTACACGTGTGTGTGTGTACCTGTGTGTGTGTACCTGTGTGTGTGTGTACCTGTGTGTGTGTACCACCTGTGTGTGTACCACCTGTGTGTGTGTGTTACCTGTGTGTGTGTGTACCTGTGTGTGTGTTACCTGTGTGTGTGTGTGTATCTGTGTGTGTATCTGTGTGTGTGTGTTACCTGTGTGTGTACCTGTGTGTGTGTGTTACCCGTGTGTGTGTGTTACCTGTGTGTGTACCACCTGTGTGTGTGTACCTGTGTGTGTGTACCTGGTAATCCCGCAGGCCCTGATAGGGGCCGAGGCGATCCCCCTGCTCCACACACTGGAGCAGGTGTCCAGTGTGTGTGTACCTGTGTGTGTGTACCTGTGTGTGTGTGTTACCTGTGTGTGTACCACCTGTGTGTGTGTACCTGTGTGTGTGTGTACCTGTGTGTGTACCACCTGTGTGTGTGTACCTGTGTGTGTACCACCTGTGTGTGTACCACCTGTGTGTGTTACCTGGTAATCCCGCAGGCTCTGATAGGGGCCGAGGCGATCCCCCTGCTCCACACACTGGAGCAGGTGTCCAGTGTGTGTGTGTACCTGTGTGTGTGTGTACCTGTGTGTGTGTGTGTACCTGTGTGTACCTGTGTGTGTGTGTACCTGTGTGTACCTGTACCTGTGTGTGTACCACCTGTGTGTGTGTTACCTGTGTGTGTGTGTGTTACCTGTGTGTGTGTGTACCTGTGTGTGTGTGTACCTGTGTGTGTACCTGTGTGTGTACCACCTGTGTGTGTGTACCTGTGTGTGTACCACCTGTGTGTGTGTTACCTGTGTGTGTGTGTATTTGTGTGTGTGTGTACCTGTGTGTGTACCTGTGTGTGTACCACCTGTGTGTGTACCTGTGTGTGTGTGTGTGTACCACCTGTGTGTGTGTACCACCTGTGTGTGTGTACCACCTGTGTGTGTTACCTGTTATCCCGCAGGCTCTGATAGGGGCCGAGGCGATCCCCCTGCTCCACACGCTGGAGCAGGTGTCCAGTGTGTGTGTGTGTACCTGTGTGTGTGTGTGTACCTGTGTGTGTGTACCTGTGTGTGTACCTGTGTGTGTGTGTACCACCTGTGTGTGTACCACCTGTGTGTGTTACCTGGTAATCCCACAGGCCCTGATAGGGGCCGAGGCGATCCCTCTGCTCCACACACTGGAGCTGGTGTCCAGTGTGTGTACCTGTGTACCTGTGTGTGTGTGTGTACCTGTGTGTGTGTGTACCTGTGTGTGTGTGTACCTGTGTGTGTGTGTACCTGTGTGTGTGTGTGTACCTGTGTGTGTGTGTACCACCTGTGTGTGTGTACCACCTGTGTGTGTGTACCTGTGTGTGTACCTGTGTGTGTGTGTAATCCCACAGGCCCTGATAGGGGCCGAGGCGATCCCTCTGCTCCACACACTGGAGCAGGTGTACAGTGTGTGTGTACCTGTGTGTGTGTACCTGTGTGTGTGTGTGTGTTACCTGTGTGTTTACCACCTGTGTGTGTGTACCTGTGTGTGTACCACCTGTGTGTGTGTACCTGTGTGTGTACCACCTGTGTGTGTTACCTGGTAATCCCGCAGGCCCTGATAGGGGCCGAGGCGATCCCCCTGCTCCACACACTGGAGCAGGTGTCCAGTGTGTGTGTGTGTACCTGTGTGTACCTGTGTGTGTGTGTACCACCTGTGTGTGTGTACCACCTGTGTGTGTGTACCTGTGTGTGTACCACCTGTGTGTGTGTGTACCACCTGTGTGTGTACCTGTGTGTGTACCACCTGTGTGTGTACCACCTGTGTGTGTACCACCTGTGTGTGTGTACCATCTGTGTGTGTACCTGTGTGTACCTGTGTGTGTGTGTGTGTGTACCACCTGTGTGTGTACCTGTGTGTGTACCACCTGTGTGTGTGTACCTGTGTGTGTACCACCTGTGTGTGTGTATACCTGTGTGTGTACCTGTGTGTGTTTACCTGTGTACCTTTGGTAATCTCACAGGCCCTGATAGGGGCCGAGGCGATCCCCCTGCTCCACACACTGGAGCAGGTGTCCAGCGAGGAGGGCATCGGCACCCTCGCCGAGAACCTCCTCGAGGCTCTCCGTCAGCACCCCGGCGTGCGGAAGAAGATCGAGGCGGCACGCAAGGAAACTCGCGCACAGAAGAAGCGACTCGCCATGGCCATGCGGCAGAAGGCGCTGGGCACGCTGGGCATGACGGTGGGTGGGTGGGTTGGTGGGTGGGTGGGTGGGTTGGTGGGTGGGTGGGTGGGTTGGGTGGGTTGGTGGGTGGGTTGGTGGGTGAGTTGGTGGGTGGGTTGGTGGGTGGGTGGGTTAGTGGGTGGGTGGGTTAGTGGGTGGGTGGGTTAGTGGGTTGGTGGGTGGGTTGGTGGGTGGGTTGGTGGGTGGGTTGGTGGGTTGGTGGGTGGGTGGGTGGGTGGGTGGGTTGGTGGGTGGGTGGGTGGGTTAGTGGGTGGGTGGGTTAGTGCGTGGGTTGGTGGGTTAGCGGGTGGGTTGGTTAGTGGGTGGGTGGGTGGGTTAGTGGGTTAGTGGGTGGGTGGGTTAGTGGGTGGGTGGGTTAGTGGGTGGGTGATGAGAAGCGACTCGCCATGGCCATGCGGCAGAAGGCGCTGGGCACGCTGGGCATAACGGTGGGTGGGTGGGTTAGTGGGTGGGTTGGTGGGTTAGTGGGTGGGTGGGTTAGTGGGTGGGTTGGTGGGTTAGCGGGTGGGTTAGTGGGTGGGTGGGTTAGTGGGTGGGTGGGTTAGTGGATGGGTGGGTTAGTGGGTGGGTGGGTTAGTGGGTGGATGGGTTAGTGCGTGGGTTGGTGGGTTAGGCGGTGGGTTGGTTAGTGGGTGGGTTAGTGGGTGGGTGGGTTAGTGGGTGGGTGGGTTAGTGGGTGGGTGATGAGAAGCGACTCGCCATGGCCATGCGGCAGAAGGCGCTGGGCACGCTGGGCATGACGGTGGGTGGGTTAGTGGGTGGGTGGGTTAGTGGGTGGGTGGGTTAGTGGGTTGGTGGGTTAGCGGGTGGGTGGGTTAGTGGGTGAGTGGGTGGGTGGGTGGGTCGGTAGGTGAGTGGGGTGGGTGAGTGGGTGGGTTGGTGGGTGAGTGGGTGGGTTGGTGGGTGAGTGGGTGGGTTGGTGGATGAGTGGGTGGGTTGGTGGGTGAGTGGGTGGGTTAGTGGGTGGGTGGGTTATTGGGTGGGTGGGTTAGTGGGTGGGTGGGTTAGTGGGTGGGTGGGTTAGTGGGTGGGTGGGTTAGTGGGTGGGTGGGTGAGTTGGTGGGTGAGTGGGTGGGTAAGTTGGTGGGTGAGTGGGTGGGTGAGTGGGTGGGTTGGTGGGTGAGTGGGTGGGTTGGTGGGTGAGTGGGTGGGTTGGTGGGTGAGTGGGTGAGTTGGTGGGTGGGTGAGTTGGTGGGTGGGTGAGTTGGTGGGTGGGTGAGTTGGTGGGTGGGTGAGTTGGTGGGTGGGTTGGTTGGTGGGTGGGTTGGTCGGTGGGTTGGTGAGTGGGTGGGTTGGGTTGGTGGGTGGTTTGGTGGGTGGGTGACTGGGTGGGTGAGTGGGTGGGTCGGTGGGTTGGTGGGTGGAGTTTGGTATGTTGAGTGTCTGACACCAGAGCACTGATTCTGAGACATTTCTCAAAGTGGTGGCTGTGATTATTAGACCACAGCCACTAATCCTCTACCTCCACCACCACCTCCACCACCTCCACCACCACCTCCACCACCTCCACCATCACCACCACTAACACCTCTACCATCACCTCCACCACCTCCACCATTCCCTCTACTACCTCCACCATCACCACCTCCACCATCACCACCTCCTCCACCACCATCACCACCTCCTCCACCACCATCACCACCTCCTCCACCACCATCACCACCACCTTCACCATCACCACCTCCTCCATCACCACCTCCTCCACCACCATCACCACCTCCTCCACCACCATCAACACCATCACCACCACCTCCACCATCACCTCCATCACCACCTCCATCACCACCTCCACCATCACCTCCACCAACACCTCCATCACCACCTCCACCATCACCTCCACCATCACCATCACCACCACCACCACCTCCTCCACCATCACCACCACCACCTCCATCACCACTTCCTCCACCTCCTCAGACGAACGAGAAGGGGCAGGTCGTGACGAAGGCGTCAATCCTCAAGCAGATGGAGGACCTCATCGAGGAGCCGGGTCTTATCTGTTGCATCTGCAGAGAGGGCTACAAGTTCCAGGTGAGCACTCACACGGTGCCTGTAAGTGTGTGTACGTGTGTGTACGTGTGTGTGTACGTGTGTGTGTGCGTGTGTGTGCGTGTGTGTACGTGTGTGTAAGTGTGTGTAAGTGTGTGTACGTGTGTGTACGTGTGTGTCTGTGTGTACGTGTGTGTAACTGTGTGTACGTGTGTGTAACTGTGTGTACGTGTGTGTGTACGTGTGTGTGCGTGTGTGTAAGTGTGTGTAAGTGTGTGTACGTGTGTGTCTGTGTGTACGTGTGTGTACGTGTGCGGTGTCTGTGTGTACGTGTGTGTCGGTGTGTGTGGGTGTAAGTGTGTGTACGTGTGTGTCTGTGTGTACGTGTGTTAAAGTGTGTGTACGTGTGTGTCTGTGTGTACGTGTGTGTAAGTGTGTGTACGTGTGTGTCTGTGTGTACGTGTGTGTACGTGTGTGTGGTGGGGAGCGATAGTGTAGCGGTTAGCGCTACGCTGCGCTATGAACCCGGCGACCCGGGTTCGATTCCCGCTCAAGGCCAACACCAGTGACGATTATCTGAACCGGTCCCGGGCCTCCCCTAGGTCGACTCAGCCTCAAATAAGTACCTGGTGCGGTGTGTGAACATTGCCACTAGGGAGACAAAGGCGGTCGGGCGTGGTGCTGGCCACCCACCCCCTCGTGTACCGTTCCGGCCTTCATAGGTGCTCGCTAACAGCACTTGCCCCTACAGTCTGTTAAGGCTATATGGGGGATCTTTGTCTGTGTGTGTACGTGTGTGTGTACGTGTGTCTGTGTGTGTCTGTGTACGTGTGCAGTGTGTGTGTGTACGTGTGTGTCTGTGTGTGTGTATGTACGTGTGTGTCTGTTTGTACGTGTGTGTGTACGTGTGCGGTGTCTGTGTGTACGTGTGTGTACGTGTGTGTGTACGTGTGTGTACGTGTGTGTGTACGTGTGTGTAAGTGTGTGTCTGTGTGTACATGTGTGTCTGTGTGCGTGGGTGTGTGTGTCTGTGTGTACGTGTGTGTACGTGTGTGTACGTGTGTGTGGGTGTGTGTACGTGTCTGTGTGTGTCTGTGTGTACGTGTGCAGTGTCTGTGTGTGTGGGTGTGCGTGTGTGTGTGTACGTGTGTGTCTGTGTGTACGTGTGTGTGTATGTACGTGTGTGTCTGTGTGTACGTGTGTGTGTATGTACGTGTGCGTGTGTGTGTACGTGTGCGGTGTCTGTGTGTGTGTACGTGTGTGTACGTGTGCAGTGTCTGTGTGTGTGTGTGTGTACGTGTGTGTAAGTGTGTGTCTGTGTGTACATGTGTGTCTGTGTGTACATGTGTGTCTGTGTGCACATGTGTGTCTGTGTGCGTGGGTGTGTACGTGTGTGTCTGTGTGTGTTTGTGTGCGTGTGGGTGTGTGTCTATGCGTGTGTATGTGCGTGTGTGCATGTGTGTGTCTGTGTGCGTGCGTGTGTCTGTGTGCGTGCGTGTGTGTCTGTCTGTGTGCGTGTGTGTGTCTGTGTGCGTGCGTGTGTGTGTCTGTGTGCGTGCGTGCGTGTGTGTGTGTGTCTGTGTGTGTGTGTGTACGTGTGTCTGTGTGTACGTGTGTGTCTGTGTGGGTGTGTGTCTGTGTGCGTGTGGGTGTGTCTGTGGGTGTGTGTCTGTGTGGGTGTGTCTGTGTGCGTGTGTGGGTGTGAGTGTGAGTGAGTGTATGAGTGAGTGTGAGTGAGTGAGTAGGTGAGTGAGTGAGTAGGTGTGTGAGTGAGTGAGTAGGTGAGTGAGTAGGTGTGTGAGTGAGTGTGAGTAGGTGAGTGAGTAGGTGAGTGAGTGAATAGGTGAGTAGGTGAGTCAGTGAGTGTGTGAGAGTGTGAGTAGGTGAGCGAGTAGGTGAGTGAGTGTGTGAGTGAGTGAGTAGGTGAGTGAGTGACTGAGTGTGTGAGTGAGTGTGTGAGTAGGTGAATGTGTGAGTGAGTAGGTGTGTGAGTGAGTGAGTAGGTGTGTGAGTGAGTGAGTGTGTGAGTGAGTGGGTGGTGAGTGAGTAGGTGAGTGAGTGAGTGAGTAGGTGAATGTGTGAGTGAGTGTGTGTGTGAGTGGTGCGGTGTGTCGCCAACCCTGCTTAATCTGTGGATCTCTGTGCGTGTGTGTTTGATGCGGCGGTTAATGCGGTGGTGCTGGTTGTTGTGGTGGTGGTTGTTGTGGTGGTGGCTAATGCGATGGTTGTTGTTGTGGTTTTTGTGGCTTATGCGGTGGTTGATGTGGTGGTTGTTGATGTGGTGGTGGTTGTTGCGATTGTTGATGTGGTGGTGGTTGTTGTGGTTGTTGATGTGGTGGTTGTTGCGGTTGTTGATGTGGTGGTTGTTGTGGTTGTTGATGTGGTGGTGGTTGTTGTGGTTGTTGATGTGGTGGTTGTTGCGGCGGTGGTGGTGGTTGTTGTGGTTGTTGATGTGGTGGTGGTTGTTGCGATTGTTGTGGTTGTTGATGTGGTGGTGGTTGTTGTGGTTGTTGATGTGGTGGTGGTTGTTGCGGTGGTTGTTGTGGTTGTTGATGTGGTGGTTGTTGATGTGGTGGTGGTTGTTGCGATTGTTGTGGCTGTTGATGTGGTGGTGGTTGTTGCGGCGGTGGTTGATGTGGTGGTTGCGGTTGTTGATGCGGTGGTGGTGGTTGATGTGGTGGTTGTTGTGGTTGTTGATGTGGTGGTTGATGTGGTGGTTGTTGTGGTTGTTGATGTGGTGGTGGTTGTTGTGGTTGTTGATGTGGTTGCAGCCCACCAAGGTGCTGGGCATCTACACGTTCACCAAGCGCGTGGCACTCGACGAGTTTGAGTGCAAGGCGCGCAAGCAGCAGGGCTACAGCACGGTGTGTCACTTCAACGTCATCCACTACGACTGCCACCTCGCCGCCGTGCGGTACGCACACACACACACAGACACACACACAGACACACACACAGACACACACACACGGGCACACACACACACACACGGGCACACACACACACACAGACACACGGGCACACACACACAGACACACACAGACACACACACACACGGGCACACAGACACACAGACACACACACACACGGGCACACACACACACACACGGGCACACACAGACACACACACAGACACACACACAGACACACACAGTCACACACACACACACACGGGCACACAGACACACACACGGGCACACACAGACACACACACACACGGGCACACACACACATAGACACACACACACACAGACACACACACACAGACACACGACGAGTTTGAGTGCAAGGCGCGTAAGCAGCAGGGCTACAGCACGGTGTGTCACTTCAACGTCATCCACTACGACTGCCACCTCGCCGCCGTGCGGTACGCACACACACAGACACACACACACGGGCACACACAGACACACAGACACACACACACACAGACACACAGACACACACACGGGCACACACAGACACACACACACACGGGCACACACACACATAGACACACACACACACAGACACACACACACAGACACACGACGAGTTTGAGTGCAAGGCGCGTAAGCAGCAGGGCTACAGCACGGTGTGTCACTTCAACGTCATCCACTACGACTGCCACCTCGCCGCCGTGCGGTACGCACACACACACAGACACACACACACACAGACACACACACACACGGGCACACACACACAGACACACAGACACACATACAGACACATACACACACAGTCACACACACACACAGACACACACACACACACAGACACACACACACACACAGACACACACACACAGACACACACAGATACACACACACACGGGCACACACGCGCACACGCACACACACGCACACGCACGCACACACACGCACACGCACGCACACACACACAAACACACACGCACTCGCACAGACACACACGCACACACACACGCACTCGCACAGACGCACGCACAGACACGCATGCACAGACACGCACGCACTCACGTACGCACTCACGCACACACGGGCACGCACACACGCACACACGGGCACGCACACACGCACGCACACACGCACGCACGCACACAGGCACGCACACACGGGCACGCACACACGCACGCACACACGCACGCACGCACACAGGCACGCACACGCAGACACGGACACGCGGACACGCACACACAGGCACGCACGGGCGCACACAGACACGTGTGTGTGTATACGTGTATACGCGCATGTGTGTGTGTTCACGTGCGTTCACGTGCGTGTGTTTGTGTGTGTGTGTGTGTTTACGTGCGTGTGTGTTTACGTGCGTGTGTGTTTACGTGTGTGTGTGTCGACGTGCGTGTGTGTTCACGTGTGTGTGTGTTGACGTGTGTGTGTGTTTACGTGTGTGTGTGTCGACGTGCGTGTGTGTTCACGTGTGTGTGTTGACGTGTGTGTGTGTGTTGACGTGTGTGTTGACGTGTGTGTGTGTGTTGACGTGTGTGTGTGTGTTGACGTGTGTGTGTGTGTTGACGTGTGTGTGTGTGTTGACGTGTGTGTGTGTTGACGTGTGTGTGTGTGTGTGTGTGACGTGTGTGTGTGTGTGTTGACGTGTGTGTGTGTGTGTTGACGTGTGTGTGTTGACATGTGTGTGTGTGTGTGTTGACGTGTGTGTGTTGACGTGTGTGTGTGTGTGTGTTGACGTGTGTGTGTGTGTGTGTGTTGACGTGTGTGTGTGTGTGTGTGTTGACGTGTGTGTGTGTGTGTGTGTGTGTTGACGTGTGTGTGTGTGTGTTGACGTGTGTGTGTGTATGTGTGTTGACGTGTGTGTGTTGACGTGTGTGTGTATGTGTGTTGACGTGTGTGTGTGTGTTGACGTGTGTGTGTGTGTTGACGTGTGTGTGTGTGTGTTGACGTGTGTGTGTGTGTGTTGGCGTGTGTGTGTGTGTTGGCGTGTGTGTGTTCACGTGTGTGTGTGTTGACGTGTGTGTGTGTGTTCACGTGTGTGTGTGTTGACGTGTGTGTGTGTGTGTTGACGTGTGTGTGTGTGTGTGTGTTGACGTGTGTGTGTGTGTGTGTGTTGACGTGTGTGTGTGTGTGTGTTGACGTGTGTGTGTGTGTGTGTTGGCGTGTGTGTGTGTGTGTGTGGCGTGTGTGTGTTCACGTGTGTGTGTGTTGACGTGTGTGTGTGTGTGTTGACGTGTGTGTGTGTGTGTGTGTTGACGTGTGTGTGTGTGTTGACGTGTGTGTGTGTGTGTGTTGACGTGTGTGTGTGTGTTGACGTGTGTGTGTGTGTGTGTTGACGTGTGTGTGTGTGTGTTGGCGTGTGTGTGTGTGTGTGTGGCGTGTGTGTGTTCACGTGTGTGTGTGTTGACGTGTGTGTGTGTGTGTTCACGTGTGTGTGTGTTGACGTGTGTGTGTGTGTTGACGTGTGTGTGTGTGTGTGTGTTGACGTGTGTGTGTGTGTGTGTTGACGTGTGTGTGTGTGTGTGTGTGTTGACGTGTGTGTGTTGACGTGTGTGTGTGTTGACGTGTGTGTGTGTGTGTTGACGTGTGTGTGTGTGTTGACAGGCTGGCGCGTGGCAGGGAGGAGTGGGAGAGTGCGGCTCTTCAGAACGCGAACACAAAGTGTAATGGACTGCTGCCACTGTGGGGGCCCTTCGTGCCCGAGTCTGCCTTCGCCACATGCCTGGCTCGGTGAGCACTCACCTCGCTCGCTCACCTCGCTCACTCACCTCACTCACCTCGCTCACCTCGCTCACTCACCTCACTCACCTCACTCATACACTCACTCATACACTCACTCATACACTCACTCATACACTCACTCACACACTCACTCATACACTCACTCACTCATACACTCACTCATACACTCACTCATACACTCATACACTCACTCACACACTCACTCATACACTCACTCACTCATACACTCACTCATACACTCACTCATACACTCACTCATACACTCACTCATACACTCACTCACACATACACTCGCTCACTCATACACTCACTCATACACTCATACACTCACTCATACACTCACTCATACACTCATACACTCACTCATACATTCACTCACTCATACACTCACTCATACACTCACTCATACATTCACTCATACACTCACTCACTCATACACTCACTCACACACTCATACACTCATACACTCACTCATACATTCACTCACTCATACACTCACTCACTCATACACTCACTCGCTCACTCATACACTCACTCATACACTCACTCACTCATACACTCACTCATACACTCACTCATACACTCACTCGCTCACTCACTCATACACTCACTCACTCATACACTCACTCATACACTCACTCATACACTCTCTCACTCATACATTCACTCATACACTCACTCATACACTCACTCACTCATACACTCACTCATACACTCACTCACTCATACACTCACTCATACACTCATACACTCACTCACTCATACATTCACTCATACACTCACTCACTCATACACTCACTCATACACTCACTCACTCATACACTCACTCACTCATACACTCACTCATACACTCACTCACTCATACGCTCACTCATACACTCACTCACTCATGCACTCACTCATACACTCACTCACTCATACACTCACTCGGTCACTCATACACTCACTCATACACTCATTCACTCATACACTCACTCATACACTCACTCACTCATACACTCACTCACTCACTCATACACTCATTCATACACTCACTCACTCATACACTCGCTCACTCATACACTCGCTCACTCAGACACTCACTCATACACTCACTCACTCATACACTCACTCATACACTCACTCACTCACTCATACACTCACTCACTCACTCACACACTCACTCACTCACTCACACACTCACTCACTCATACACTCACTCACTCATACACTCACTCATACACTCACTCACTCACTCATACACTCACTCATACACTCACTCATACACTCACTCTCTCACTCACTCATACACTCGCTCACTCATACACTCGCTCACTCACTCAGACACTCACTCACTCATACACTCACTCACTCATACACTTACTCACTCATACACTCACTCATACACTCGCTCACTCATACGCTCACTCATACACTCGCTCACTCATACTCTCGCTCACTCATACACTCACTCATACACTCACTCACTCATACACTCACTCATACACTCACTCACTCATACACTCACTCACTCATACACTCGCTCACTCACTCATACACTCACTCATACACTCACTCATACACTCACTCACTCATACACTCACTCATACACTCACTCATACACTCACTCACTCATTCACTCGCTCACTCATACACTCGCTCACTCACTCATACACTCACTCATACACTCACTCACTCATACACTCACTCATACACTCACTCACACACTCATACACTCATACACTCACTCATACATTCACTCACTCATACACTCACTCACTCATACACTCACTCGCTCACTCATACACTCACTCATACACTCACTCACTCATACACTCACTCATACACTCACTCATACACTCACTCGCTCACTCACTCATACACTCACTCACTCATACACTCACTCATACACTCACTCATACACTCTCTCACTCATACATTCACTCATACACTCACTCATACACTCACTCACTCATACACTCACTCATACACTCACTCACTCATACACTCACTCATACACTCATACACTCACTCACTCATACATTCACTCATACACTCACTCACTCATACACTCACTCATACACTCACTCACTCATACACTCACTCACTCATACACTCATTCATACACTCACTCACTCATACGCTCACTCATACACTCACTCACTCATGCACTCACTCATACACTCGCTCACTCATACACTCACTCGGTCACTCATACACTCACTCATACACTCATTCACTCATACACTCACTCATACACTCACTCACTCATACACTCACTCACTCACTCATACACTCATTCATACACTCACTCACTCATACACTCGCTCACTCATACACTCGCTCACTCATACACTCACTCATACACTCACTCACTCAAACACTCACTCATACACTCACTCACTCACTCATACACTCACTCACTCACTCACACACTCACTCACTCACTCATACACTCACTCACTCATACACTCACTCACTCATACACTCACTCATACACTCACTCACTCACTCATACACTCACTCATACACTCACTCATACACTCACTCGCTCACTCACTCATACACTCGCTCACTCATACACTCGCTCACTCACTCATACACTCACTCACTCATACACTCACTCACTCATACACTTACTCACTCATACACTCACTCATACACTCGCTCACTCATACGCTCACTCATACACTCGCTCACTCATACTCTCGCTCACTCATACACTCACTCATACACTCACTCACTCATACACTCACTCATACACTCACTCACTCATACACTCACTCACTCATACACTCGCTCACTCACTCATACACTCACTCATACACTCACTCATACACTCACTCATACACTCACTCATACACTCACTCACACATACACTCGCTCACTCATACACTCACTCATACACTCATACACTCACTCATACACTCACTCATACACTCATACACTCACTCATACATTCACTCACTCATACACTCACTCATACACTCACTCATACATTCACTCATACACTCACTCACTCATACACTCACTCACACACTCATACACTCATACACTCACTCATACATTCACTCACTCATACACTCACTCACTCATACACTCACTCGCTCACTCATACACTCACTCATACACTCACTCACTCATACACTCACTCATACACTCACTCATACACTCACTCGCTCACTCACTCATACACTCACTCACTCATACACTCACTCATACACTCACTCATACACTCTCTCACTCATACATTCACTCATACACTCACTCATACACTCACTCACTCATACACTCACTCATACACTCACTCACTCATACACTCACTCATACACTCATACACTCACTCACTCATACATTCACTCATACACTCACTCACTCATACACTCACTCATACACTCACTCACTCATACACTCACTCACTCATACACTCATTCATACACTCACTCACTCATACGCTCACTCATACACTCACTCACTCATGCACTCACTCATACACTCGCTCACTCATACACTCACTCGGTCACTCATACACTCACTCATACACTCATTCACTCATACACTCACTCATACACACACTCACTCATACACTCACTCACTCACTCATACACTCATTCATACACTCACTCACTCATACACTCGCTCACTCATACACTCGCTCACTCATACACTCACTCATACACTCACTCACTCATACACTCACTCATACACTCACTCACTCACTCATACACTCACTCACTCACTCATACACTCGCTCACTCACTCATACACTCACTCACTCATACACTCACTCACTCATACACTCACTCATACACTCACTCACTCACTCATACACTCACTCATACACTCACTCATACACTCACTCGCTCACTCACTCATACACTCGCTCACTCATACACTCGCTCACTCACTCATACACTCACTCACTCATACACTCACTCACTCATACACTTACTCACTCATACACTCACTCATACACTCGCTCACTCATACGCTCACTCATACACTCGCTCACTCATACTCTCGCTCACTCATACACTCACTCATACACTCACTCACTCATACACTCACTCATACACTCACTCACTCATACACTCACTCACTCATACACTCGCTCACTCACTCATACACTCACTCATACACTCACTCATACACTCACTCACTCATACACTCACTCATACACTCACTCATACACTCACTCACTCATTCACTCGCTCACTCATACACTCGCTCACTCACTCATACACTCACTCATACACTCACTCACTCATACACTCACTCATACACTCACTCACACACTCATACACTCATACACTCACTCATACATTCACTCACTCATACACTCACTCACTCATACACTCACTCACTCACTCATACACTCACTCATACACTCACTCACTCATACACTCACTCATACACTCACTCATACACTCACTCGCTCACTCACTCATACACTCACTCACTCATACACTCACTCATACACTCACTCATACACTCTCTCACTCATACATTCACTCATACACTCACTCATACACTCACTCACTCATACACTCACTCATACACTCACTCACTCATACACTCACTCATACACTCATACACTCACTCACTCATACATTCACTCATACACTCACTCACTCATACACTCACTCATACACTCACTCACTCATGCACTCACTCACTCATACACTCATTCATACACTCACTCACTCATACGCTCACTCATACACTCACTCACTCATGCACTCACTCATACACTCGCTCACTCATACACTCACTCGGTCACTCATACACTCACTCATACACTCATTCACTCATACACTCACTCATACACTCACTCACTCATACACTCACTCACTCACTCATACACTCATTCATACACTCACTCACTCATACACTCGCTCACTCATACACTCGCTCACTCATACACTCACTCATACACTCACTCACTCATACACTCACTCATACACTCACTCACTCACTCATACACTCACTCACTCACTCATACACTCGCTCACTCACTCATACACTCACTCACTCATACACTCACTCACTCATACACTCACTCATACACTCACTCACTCACTCATACACTCACTCATACACTCACTCATACACTCACTCGCTCACTCACTCATACACTCGCTCACTCATACACTCGCTCACTCACTCATACACTCACTCACTCAGACACTCACTCACTCATACACTCACTCACTCATACACTCACTCATACACTCGCTCACTCATACGCTCACTCATACACTCGCTCACTCATACTCTCGCTCACTCATACACTCACTCATACACTCACTCACTCATACACTCACTCATACACTCACTCACTCATACACTCACTCACTCATACACTCGCTCACTCACTCATACACTCACTCATACACTCACTCATACACTCACTCACTCATACACTCACTCATACACTCACTCATACACTCACTCACTCATTCACTCGCTCACTCATACACTCGCTCACTCACTCATACACTCACTCATACACTCACTCACTCATACACTCACTCATACACTCACTCATACACTCACTCGCTCATACACTCACTCACTCGCTCATACACTCACTCATACACGCACTCACTCATACACTCACTCGCTCACTCATACACTCACTCATACACTCACTCACTCATACACTCACTCATAC